TGTTGGAATTATTTGTATAAACGAATAAGAGAAACAGATTGTGCAAAAACTGAACATTAAGAAGGGAAAAAAGAGAGAGATATGTTCCCATGAAGTAATTTTTAATTAAGGCCCCAGCATAACAAGGCAAAATAAAAACGAGGAAAAAGCTGAAAAAAGAAAAAAAGAAGAAAGGAAGAAACACGCAGGGTGTGTGTTGATGAATTGGTGATGTCCCGGCGTGCAAAAACGAGGTAAAGCCTTTCCCCGAACAAAAAAGAACAATATTAAAATACAGCGTTAGATCGTAATAATATTCTCTCTGATTATGGCTTACTGACAGCAGCGTTCTGCTATCTCTTCCTTTTGTTTGTATTTACACGGGAACAAAGGGAGGGACCATCGGCGCCGGCTCGTAACAGAAGGGAGCCGCCGGGTGCTGCCAGTTCTTGAAGGACACGCTCACCTTCTCCGGCTCGTGCTGCGGCGGGTCTTGCGGCGGCTTTACCTCGAGCGGTGGCGGCGAGGAGGCGAGGGGCGAGAGGAGGGGGATGGCGACGTTCCACTTCAGTGAACGGTTGATTTGCAGGGAGGAGGGGGCCCGCCGCTGCAGACGGCTGGGCTGGTGGCGGTTATTGTCTGTCTTGGGATTTGACATTGGAATAGGAGAAAAGAGACGAGAGGAAAGGAGAAGAGAAGAGTGGTTATGCTGAAGATGGAAAGCAAACGGTGGTCGTTTTTTTATATATGTAATAAAGAAATAAAGGAAGAGAGTGCATACACACACGTTGGGAACTGAAAGGGTCATGAAAGCGGGGTCCACCTACCTGTCATACAGCTCGGCTCGGTTTCCCTCGGCTGGCTGGCTGGCTGGCTCCTGTAATCAATGGCTCACTATTCCCTTTACTGGTTTCATTTACTTAATATAGCATCCTTCTTTCTTCCATATACCTACCATTTTCAATATTCCATCGTTTTCTTAAATCCTTCTGCCATTTCAAATTTAATGTCATATGAACATTCAAATATTAGATTCCTTAAACATATTATAATATCATGTATTTTTTTTATCAGTGCATGAATAAATTGAAAATATTACCATGAAAACAAATACAATTATTTAAAAAAATATATATACAGAGTTAAAATATAATTTAAACGTTATATTAAATTAAAATAATGGAAAGTAGTGGTGGACATGGTTGTGAGGAAGAGAGTTGTTTTGGAAATTGATTGGAAGAAAAGGTAGATGAGAGTCAAAGGTTGAATGATAGACAACAGAGAGGAATAATGAGAAATATTATGTATGATGAATTGAAAGATATTATTATAATTTAAGACATGAGAGATATAGAAGGGAAGATAGACACATCAATACAGAAAAATAATGGCTCTTTTGTTTGTTTTCTTTTGACGTTTTTCTATTATCATCACACAATAATCCCACTTATTAGGTCCCTCCCACTCTACCTCAAATCACATCATCACTACAAACCAAAACTCTCCCTCTCTCCTCTTAATCTCTCATTCAATCACTCTAATTCCACCACCTTCTATTAATTAATATCTCATTATCATAAATCTCAAAATTAGTTCCATCCAATGGCAAAAATTCACTGTACCCACAAACAAAATTTGTAACAAATAATCACTACTCATAAATATTTATTATTTGTGAATAATAATATAAAATATTTTAATATTTATTTATAAATAGATTTAATGCAACTATATATTATCTGTATATACAAATATATATTATTTAAAAAATGTAAAATTAATTTATATTAAATTAATTAATATATATTATTATCACAGTTACTCATTTTCATCATCAATTTCAATGGTCTTCACATTCACTTTCGTTCAAACAAATCAATGTCAAATTTATTTTACTTTAAACTAGTATAACATCATCCATCCCACAAGTATGAAATTTGTTTCTTCTTCTTTCTCCTTTTAGTAACAGGTTAGATATCGTAGAGAAAAGGTAGTGATGGGAATTTTCAGAACATATGATTTGATGTGCAGGAGGAATATATCTTTCTAACTCTTGCTATTGGGTAAGGACAAAAATTAAATTTTAAAATGCTTTGGCGATTTATAAAATACATTTACTAATAGAAATATTTAGCTAATCTTGAGAGTGATAAATATAATTGTTTTTAATAGTTAAAGGAATTTTGTCCTGGTAGAACTGGAGAATAGTGGAATATGAATACGTGTATGAGATTATCTTAATTGGGATGCTGAATGAATGATATAAACTATGATTTTATGACTGGAAAAGTCTACAAGAAAAATTGTCGGAGGGTGTTAGAAGTTGGACACTTTAAATAAGAAATAAACTAATTGCAAATCCAATGGTCGGAAATCTCTTTCAATCCCACGGCTAAGGTGTAAGTAGCGTGGTCAATTATGTACCTTCTACTCACAAAATCCACGTGTCACCTTCTTATTGCACACATACTTCAAGCACTAGTATCACTGGATTCATTCGATAAAATTATACTTCAATAAATGGTTTTTTGGAAAAATTATTCTTCTAACATGAATTAAAAATATCATCCCGAAAACAATACCAACATTTTTCTTGAGCTTCAATTCTTATAAATTTATTATTTGAAAATTTACGTTTTCAAGATTAGTTCAATTAAAATTTAAAAAAGAAACAACTCTACTAAAGTAGTTAGTTATTTTTCCACTTTTCCCAATTTCTATATAAAAAATATTATTTATATACTTTTAGTCGTCATCCCTACTTCCAAATTATTCATCTTTCCAACTATCATCAGTTGCCCTCAATATTTCTGAAAATATTATATTATTTATGTTATATATTATATTTGTTTTAATTTTTCATAAAATATTTTCTTCATGAAAACAACAATCGAAGAATTAATATTTTTTTTTTTAAAAATTAATTAGAAATATCTAAAAGTATAATAGATGTAAACATTACGTTTAACTATGCATTTTATTATATATTTAAATTATTGGACTTAAATATTTTAAATTTCAGTCAAATTAGCATCTAACTTTGTTAAATAAAGCCTTGTCACATATCTAGGATAGATGAAAGTAATTTTTTCTTTTTCATGTTGTGCTTAGAACAACAGACATCAAAATCATATTAATTCATTTAAGATATTATTTTTAATCACTGGAAGAGGAATTCAAGTTATCTCATGTTAAACCAGGTTTAGTTTGATCAAATTAATTAAGTAGGAAAATAATAGGTGTATAGATTTTCACTCGTTGTAATCCATCATAGATTTCTAATTAAACAACGAGTTAAACTTCTATGTACAAATGTAAAAGTTTATTATATAATTAATTGATAAAAAGTGATAGATGTGAAATTTAAAATTACTTTACAGAAATAAACTCACTTATTACGTTTATCAATTTATAATTAAATAATAATATAAAAATAATTTTTCACTATGGGTACGTTTTTTTTCTTGAATTAGTGTAATGTATCTTCTTAAATTTATGTTATAATTTCTGTGTAAGGTCTATTATATTAAACTTTTATTTTTATTATTTATTGACGAAAGATATATTTTGTGCTTATTTTTAATTATTTTTCCCATATTTTAATATTGCATCTAATTAAGAGAGTATTTTTGTTCAATTTGATTATGAGATGAAGTTTACATTTATTTCATAATATGTTTCTTTCTTAAAATGTATGGATGATTCACACTTTTTTTCAGTTTTGAGTAGTTGAGAATTTTTATTTTCTTCATTATACTCCTTTTAATTTGTGTTTGGATTATTTTGATGTTAGACGTTGGTGATTAGCTTTTGAAAGAATTTGTTATGTTTGGGTACTCTAATTTTTCATATTTACTCTACGATTTTAAGCTTATATTTGAGTTTCCAATAAATATTAATTCATATTTACCGAGCACATTACATAAGTATTTTAATTATCTTAAGTGAGTTATCAAGGAAACTACTTTTTTTTATATACTTATATTGCTTAAATGACTTTGATATTTGTGATTCTAATTTAAGCAAATATATATATATATATATATATATATATATATATATATATATATATATATATATATATAAATAAATCAAAAGTAGATCAATATCTTGTACATGTGTTTAGACAAAATATCTCCAAAATTATTGATAAGAGAAGGAAGAAAAGGAGTTTTTTCTTAAAATATTTTTTTTGTGTGTATACAGAATTAGATTTTAAAGAAAATCCAAATATATCACTTTATTAGTTTATATAAATTAATTTTAATTTATAAAAAATAATTTAATTTTTATTTTTTTAACAAATACTTTCACAAAAATGCCGATAGCTCGTCCCTTTCTAGACTTGTAAAATATCCTACTAAACTCTGTATAATGATTTTTTCTCCCATTATCTCTGAAGCTATTACCAGAATAATTAGTACTGCCTTAAATACTTCATTGAACAAAAAAATGTGATAATTGAATTTATTATAATAAAAACATATTTTCTAGAAGTTGGACCCAACACCACAATTCACAAGTAGTGAGTTAGAGATCAAAGCCATCAGGTAAAGTGATAAACATATGCGAAATGTTTGACTATAGAAAAGTACTGTAGTCGTTGATTGAATAAGTTAGCCAAAGCAACATGAACAATCAGAAGTGGCCAACCATGCTGTTGGATAGAAAAACAACAGACAAAGAAAATGGAAAATACTACAATGGAAGAGAATACCACTAGAATAATCTTTGAATCTGAGCCATCCAAGTCAATTTACATTTTAGACATGTTATAAATAAATTACTAAATAAAACAATTGCATATTTTAATTTGGTGGAATAAATTTGAATTTGTAAACTAAAATTATAGTACTAATTTTTTAAAATTAAGTTCTAATCAAGTTCTTTAAAAATAAATTATATCTTTGATACAACTTAATTTTCAAAAAAATCTGACATTATATAAATCTAATATACAAATAAGTTATAGATAAATAAATTAAATTTGTCTATCTGTCTAAGTAAACCTTTAAATGAAATTAGAGGGTCGGCCAAGAGAGCCAACCCTTTTGAGTTCCATAAATTATGTCGGCCATATGTCTTGATAGCCATACAGCATTCACCAATCTAGGATGAACGTGGCATATTTAGCCAACCGACCCTTTTAAGGGTAATCACAGAACATTCACTTCTATTTATAACAAGAAGCCTCAGTCTCTTCACTTAATTTCTCGATGTGGGACTCCACTATTGTTCCTCACGTTTCATTATACCTTTGAATATATTGATTGACAATATCAGATAGTTTCAATCTATAGAAGCTATAATCTAGACTTATAACCACTGTCAACATTTGAATTAACAGTACATTGAAATTAAAATTATTTCATCAAACATTCATTGTATATTTCTTCCTGAGTGTCTTCTCAATGGTTAAGAATTCATATAACACATCGCTTGCGCTTGAAGATAATAGGAATCTTTGTATTTTTTGCTACTTCCCACATGAATCCCATTGTGAATCCAATCCTCCCTGCTTATCCATGCATCCCTACCCAAATCAAGTACTCCAAGAATCTGCAAAGCCATATGTCCGATATGTTAACACAAAGTATATGACCACTAACTACCACCTATGTTAACACAATAAATGAACACTAACTTCCATCTCAGAGGACATGTAAAATCCCACCTTGAAATATTTCCAACTAAGTACCAACTTCATGTACAGAAATTTACTATTATGTACATGAAAGTGATAATTTTATTTCTAAAAATTAATAATAATTTACATATGTAAAACGATAAATAGTTATAAAATGAATACTGTGCTAGCTTTTGCTAAACTCACTCTGTTTCCCTATCACATTTTAGTGATAAATTCATGAATTTGATGACTTCCAAAGCTAAATAATTACAATGTGCTGTCTACAATAATTTAAGGCTATATACAAATAGCAATGAACAAATATTTCAAAAGTAGAATTTGAAAACAATGACAAGAACAATTGAAAAATCAACCAAGAAGAAATTCATACCACCCCGCCTTTCCAAGACACAAACGTCGGATTTGTCCTTGATTGTAGAACCTTGAGAGTCATGTACAGATGTTCCATAAGATCAGATACAAAAATAATTATAAAGAAAACAAAACATAATAATTCAATAGTCTGACCTTGGTTGCATAGTGGTCAAACCATGGTAATTTAATAACCATTCTTTATAGTAGCCAAACCTTTATTGTTAATGACCACTTGGAGAAGATTTGGATACATCTATAATGTATAATTTTAAGTACAAATAATTAAAAAATAAGCATACGATAGTAAACTAACCTCCACAGTGTCAATTGCTTCATTTGGAGGGATGGCTTGTAAAACTCTGAGACATAAGAATAGTGATTCATCCAATTAATATCATGACATAATTAAGTAATCATTCATGGCACTAGGGTGTTGAAATTCAAATGAAAAATATAATTAATGACGTTAAAGCAGGTCGTGGGAAAAACAAAATGATGGCCACCGCTAACAGTACAGTTCTGTAAGAGACAGTATTAAAAGATACGGATAATGAAAAACAGGACGAGGAAAGAAGAAACAGTTCCAAAAGTAGGCAAATCTAATTAAAATTATGAATAAACTAAAAAATTAAAACAGAAAAAATTACTTGAATGTTAAAATTAAAACTTCAGGTCATTAAATAACGAAATTTTGTTTTCATGCAAAATATAGTTACAAGAAGAAGGAAAGATGTACTTAATACATCTACAATATCACACCAATTGGGGCAATCCTCATGGGCTAGTCTTCCTTTTTCTCTAATATAAAACAATACATGAATTGTCATTCCAAACATCAGTATCAGCTAATTAGCTTATAGCCGGGGAGGTTAACATGATAAGGTCAATGAAATTTGGAACAAACCTTTCTTCAACTGCTGCAACTAAACCTCTTGTTAAAGCCACCCCGCCAGTCTATTCCAAATAAATATGTCAGTTCCTATCAATCAATATGTAATATCAAGACAATTATACACCAAGCTCAACATGTAAAACTCACCAATTGTATGCTACAAAATAATTTTCTCTGGATGTCTATGCGACCTGTGACATCATGGGGTTGAACAGTTAAACAAGCTTCAAATTTATGCATAAAAAATGAAAAAAAAAAATGAAAAAGACAAAAGATTACCAGTTGAGAGAATGCAGTTAGTAATTGCTTCTGCAAGGCCCACTTTTTCTTCTTTTTTTGGCTTAGCTGAAAAAATGGGATAGCTTTCCCACATTGGTAATCCTCCATTAACATTGGGATAGAAGGTATCAGACATGTCAGACCTCCGGGAAAAATCAATATGCCATGTATCTTCAAGCATATCCTCATAGTCATGAAACCTGGTGGAGGAAACCAATAGGATTAATTGTTCACAAACATGCTAACAGCACTGAAATAATTTCTTGAATCCACTAACCAAGTGCGAGGGGGAGGAGGATACACGTCAGGAACTAAAAGCTTTGGATAGAACAATCCCATAGGAGGGACCTAAGTAATAATCAACATCACTTCACAATCATGGCATTGTTCAAATTAAAAGTGAGGGCAAACCAAAAAAAATGTTGGATACATACATTAAGAGCAGTAAGCCTTATCTTGTGAGACACAGGTGGCCCTCTGTCCTCATATGAATGAACTACTGCAACGGCATCAAGTTCCTCTTCCTATAGACAGGACACCAGATAATTAAAGAGAGAATCTAAGTTTGGAAGCAAGTAAACACCAAAGAGGAGCAGCAAGTCTATAAATCTTCTCATTCCCAGAAATACCATATAAACACAGCAAAAGTATTTTTAATAGCAAATTACTCTCAGAATTTCATGTACATCACGTGTCCTTTTCTATAAAAATTATGTTTAGTGCTGAAATGCAGCCTGCGGTGCCACACATGATACATAGAGTCTCACTTTTATATATAGAATTTTCATATTCATGTTATTTAGAAACATGATAAACATACCAACAGGGCCACAATTGTGCCGCCACTAATTTTCAAATTAAAAGTTCATTTCGCACTCAATAAGGCTGGGCTCTAAAATACTCAGGGTGACGACTGCAAACTAAGCAAAATGAGAAGCAGCACAACTCACCTTGATTTCACAATATGTTTCTTTCAGTTGATTTAACATTAACAGATCTACAGGCTTTCTGAAAACATCTGTACGAATTTGTGGCCAAGTCTGGTGATGTCTTTGGGTCCAGAGAAGCCCCCTTGTTATATCCTGAAAGTATGAGGTTGTAATATATATAATGACTTAAAAAACTACCAAAATATACAAAATTTGGAAAATAAAATGTCACTACATAATTCAAAGAATTATAATATGAAAATCTTCATAAAAAGAAGCAAATTGAAAATGGCAACATATTACATAATGGAAAATCAATATACATTGGCAAGCACGGTTTTCTTTAGTTGGGTTGTACTGTTTTCTATTATGTTTGTTACGCTGTTTTGTTTCTGTTAGGTCATGAAAGCTGTGTCCATCTCTTTACTCTATACAAAGAGAGTTCTTGTAAATCTGTTATTAGTAATACAAAATTAGCCTCTTATTTATGTTTCTTGTTTCCTCCTCTTCTCTCTTTCTCTCTATACTCTAATATGGTATTAAGAACCTAAAGATCCTTTATGGCTGAAAATCCTCCTCTACTTCCCCTTAATCTGCTGCCTTCATAAAAATTTCAGAGAAAACCTAGATGATTCCAACTTCTTGCTCTGGCAGCAACAGATGGAACCATGCATCAAATGACATCATTTTCAAAACACGGTCGACAACTTATCTATTCCACCTCCATTTCTTTTTTAGTGAAGCAGATCATGCTGCTAGAAAAATCAATCTAGCTCATGGTGCCTAGGAGCAATAGGAACAAGATCAAATGCTACTGACATGGTTAAGTCTATGTTATCACAATTCTTTGTACCAGATTTGGGATAAAGTGCATGAGTATTTTTATAAACAGATGAGAGAGCTGGAGTGTGCCAACTTGCACTAAACTACATTCCATTACTGTTGAGAATAGTTCGGAATTTCTTCTACAGCATTGGGTGACTATCTTGCCTTTGTGGGTGATCATGTTGCTCTTCAACAACGCATTGATGTGATTCTTGAAGGTTTACCTCAAGACTATGAATCTATTATTGAAAGTAAGTTCGGACCTCTTTATATCGAGGAAGTTGAAGCTCTTCTTCTTGCATGAGTCACGTCTTCAAAAGTGCAGCAAGAAGTTTGTTCTTGATTCAATTTCTCTTAATCTGACTCAACCAACAATACCCAATTATGCTTCACAAAATGATCAAGAAACTTCTTATGCGATGACACCAATGTTCAAATCCAAGATGCAAAAGCTCAAGAGTTTTTGTGGTGTCATGACTCCAGTTTTAGAAGGTTGTGGTTGTGGCAGAATACACTTAGCATTCAATGTCAAGTATGTTTTAAATATTGACATACTACTTCCTTCTTCTATCACCTGCTTGACCAAAATTATCAACCTCCAACTCAAGGCAATCTTTACTTGAATTTCCAAGGAAATTCAAATCAACATTTTCAGGCATATTTTCATTTGTTTCATCACTATCAGCAATACTTTGCCCCACCTCTTTTACACCCTCCAACCAACTATCATCCTCCTTCGTAGAAGTCATAGCATCCGCCCACTGCATTGATGACCAACACTGGAGTAGGGTTGCCACCTACTCATTCTGTTTTGACCTCTAATTCCAAATAATTCCAATTGGTTCCCTGACTGCAGTGCTTCCTTCCATGTTACTGGAGAAAATCAGAACATTATTCAAAATGTTCCCTATGTAAATCTTGAAAAAATTTATATTGGTAATGGTCAAGGTTTGCCAATTCAATCTTCTGGATTCTCCTATTTTTCTGCTCCAAATAATCCTAATACTTCTTTATCCCTTCATTTACTTCAGGTTTCCACTATCACTAAAAATCTTCTTTAGTGTTAGTAAATCCACCAGAGAAATTCTGTTTATTTTGAGTTTAATGTCACTCACTTTTTTGTTAAATTTCAGGCAACTAATAAAATGCTTCAAGGATGAGTAGGGCCATCTCTATGCTTTTTCTGACTTGCGGCTTCAAGCTTCTCCACACACCACGTCTTCCTTTTCTATTAATTCTATAACCAATTATGATAATAACATTAGTATTCACTCTGTTTGGCAAGTTAGACATGCGCATCCTAATTCTAATGTTGAGACTGATTTTTCAGCAATGAAATCTTCCTTTTTTTAATAATAAAGAAGTTGCTTCTTTATGTAAAGCATGTTGTATTGGAAAAGCTCGCAGAATTCCTTCCTTCTTATCTCAATGTTTACAAGGGTCCCCTCAAACTTGTTTATATTGACTTGTGAGACCTTCTCTAGTAATATATAATGGTTTTTCCTATTAGGCAACCTTTGTTGACGCTTTTTCCAGATTTACACAAATCTAATGAGTTTGTCTCTCATGAGTTTCTTTCTCCTGTTATTTCTCAACCACAGCCTTATCCTATCAACAGTCACCCTGTGCAAACTAGGTCTAGGTCTGGCTTACAACAAAACAGGATTTATACCTCTGTCTTTCTAACACACTCTTAGTTGTTAGTAATGTGAAATTATCATCTTTTTGTTTTATTTTCTTCTCTCTTTCTCTCTATACTCTAATACTCTTTGGAAGCTTCCTTAATTGTCACCTCATCAAATGTGGTATTTAGTCTCACACCAACTAGAAATATGAATTAAATAGAGATTAGACAATCCTCATCTCACATGTTGATTTATAGGGTTGAGTCAAGTCCTAGGTCTATATTCTAAGAAAATACTTTTGTTTGGGCCAATGTAGTTTAGGTTATACATGTCACAAGTAACATGTGAAACATAGTTGCTAAATAAGAAAAAAGAAATGGAGTCAGAAAAACAAAAATTAGTATATCAAGCATGCTGGTAAGTGAATATTTTCCAAGTTTTGGATTATTTTAAAACATCAGTAGTGGGTAGAAGTATGGAACTATTTTTGTACCTCACCACCAAAAGGTAAAGTCTTTCCAGTTGAAGGTAGAGCACCTCCGTCCTATGCAACAAGAGAAGAGTTTAAATGTGAAAATTAATGACCGCTGTTTCTCATAACAATCTGAACTACCATCAAGTGTGAAAAGAACTCAAATTGAAAGTTAAAATAATAATACACACAAGCCAATAAACAAGTTAAAGTTGGTATATGTGACCAATAACAAAATTATATTCAGAATAATTACTAGTGTCAAATTCACCATAGAAGCTACTTTACCATATAAGTTGTTTTATTGAAATGACAAAGTAAATCCAATGAACAACAAAAGTTTAAATCATTAAAACAAACATCACAATCAACAAATTTAGTTATTATGTTTACCATGACCAATATAAGATTTAAAGTCAACCTCACAGTGGAATTTTTTTGGTTATATCACTGACCAGAGTTACTAATCCAAGATTGCAGCATGAAGCATAATTTGATCCACAGACAATCCCATCTACGTAGTGTTTGACTTAACATTTTCCAAGCTTCTCATTTCTTAAAAGAAGTTGAGCTAAGCACATATTTACAGAAGCTCTGAAGAATAAAGTAGCTTTCTTTTATTAACAAAATACCAAAGGTTTAATAGGTTCGGAGGTCCTATATTTGCGGGTTCGTTTCAATTGGGTCCTCCCATTTTGGAAATGTTCAATTAGATCCCTAATTTGACAAAATTGAGTCAATAATATCCTTTCCGTTAAATGTAATGGACGGCGTTAAATTTTTAAACAGATGACCTGTTGAGCATCTTTTTATTTCCAGGTGACATTTTGAACTTAATACGTGGCACAGCAGAAAAGTAATCTCTTGTTTGATTGTTGAGATTTTAGGGAAAAAAGAGATAGATTTTGCGTTGTTACTGTTAATGTAGATGAAATGCCAGATCCAACATTAACAACCAATTCTGCAATTTTTAATTTGCATTCAGATTCCCTTTTCCTTTCTAATCCTAAACCCTAATTTTCTTTTTTCACCCTCCAGCGTTGTCGAAATCCCGAATTCTGTGTGAAGTTTTTCACTCCCGATTACTCTTTGTTTTTTATTCTTATTCGTTGCTTCTTCTTCCACCATGAAAGAATTTAAATCCGTTAACCATCAACATCCGCACCAGGACGGTCACCTCTCGCCTTCAAAATTCGCCAAATTGTTTGATCCTGAAGCTTCCTGGGACAAGGTTTGTTCTTTCAGTACATCCTTCATAGATCCATTCCTGGACGAGAGGGAGAAGGCGTGGCAGTTGAGGAGGTCGATGTAGAGGGCGTAGGCGGCGGGGTGGAGGTGGCGGTGGGGGAGGACGCGAGTGGAGAGGAGGGAGAGGGCGAGCAAGGGAGGGAGGATTCTGACGGCCATGGCTTTCTCGAGAAGCTTCCAGGCGAGGGGGACGTGGTTGTCGAAGCAGATGTAGGAGACGAGACGGTGTGCGAGGTCGACGGAAGGGAGGGAGACGCCGGCGGAGTTGAGGGCGGCGCTGACCTGAATTGACCACAGAAGAGGGTCGGTCTTCTTCTCCTGCGCCCACTTGGTGAGTTCCATGACTCCCTCCCACACCATCGCTTCCATTCACCGATCGATCTCTCCACTTCGCAATTCCTTCGATTCTCAATTTAGACTTCACTCACCATCTTCATCGTCTTCTTCTTCAAATTTTGAAAAGTCTGCTTCCACTCACTCTGATGTTTTTTGTTGAAATGAAAAAAATGATAATTCACAATCGTCAACATCTTCGTCTCTTTCCACTCTTTTCATGCATTCCACCACTCAAATAATTCAAACCACCAGATTGCTTCTTACTTACAATTTAAAATGATATAAAATACACGTATTCAACTCACCTGTTTAAAAAGTTAACACTGTCTATTGCATTTAACGGAAAGGGTATTATTAACTCAATTTTGTTAAATTAAGGACCCAATTGAAACGAACTCGCAAATATAGGGACCTCCCAACCTATTAAACCAATACCAAAAATACAGCTTCTATAAAATCCATTTGGAGGAGCTTCTACTTTTCAGGAGAAGGAAAGCCCATATAAGTGAGGGAAAACATTAATGTTGTAAGAGATATATTGGAGATCCCACATTGACTAGAGACATAGCCAAATTTTAATATATATATATATATATATATATATATATATATATATATATAAGTAGGTCACAAACTACACTTTTTGTGAGATTGAGTTAGACATAAACTCATTTACTCAAATGGTTTGGTTATTAATTAAGACATGAAAGCAACGTAGTGATTTGATTTTAACTTAATTTGCCACCAAGAGTGTCATTTTAGAAAATTTAAGGACCTCTTTCAGAAATTGAAGAATAGCAGAAAAGTAATTGTTATTTACCTTACCAATGATGATACAACTGAACTGAACACAATTTTCCAGATTAACAGATTTACGACTTCAGGACAGTTACTTCAAAATGAAGTAAACTTCAGGAGCCTACATACATTTTCTGCTGTAACTAATCTACTATCAAATGATGCTGGATAAATATACAGTGATATGTTGATCTACATACAGAGCTTTCTTTAATTTACTTCCAAATTTTCTGCTGTTAAGAATAGTGGATCATAGAACTATTAATTAATTCATAAATACAACTTCTAGATTTATTCTCGGCAAATGTTATACATCATTTAGTTATTCCATCTTCCAAGATATCCTAATAGAAAACTCCCAAGTAAGTGTAAAATAAGATATGTTTAATAACAATTATAAAATAAGTTTCATTTACCTCAATGCATATAAGTGATGTCACCTGAGCACCAATATTCACAACACATGCTGTTGATAATCCATTTCCAAAAACTGCTGCAATACCTTCCTGGTCAAGTCAAATAACACCTTATGAAATTTTTAGAAGCTAATTAAGAAATCCTGACAAAGTGTTCACTTCCAATTTGATCACATGCTTTATTGTTGGATCTCCACCAACCCCGTTCTATAAATAAATTTCATAATCCATCAGAATCATGATCCCTGATGTAGATTAAAGTTATAGTGACCATTATAGCACAGAGGATTTTGTAAACCAAACCAAGAGAAAAATGTTTGAGACTACAGAAATTTGAACAAAGTTATCTGCAACAACTTTCAACATTAAGACTTGGTTTTATTTGGAAAGTAAGAACCAAATCTATGACCATGAAAACACCAAACTTAATGGAAATAACTTGTTAGGGAACTAATTGTATCTAGTAGAAGAAGAAACATTACCCAGCCTAACTGCCTGGCAGTTAGGTAAGTCAGTATAAAAGGGGTGGGTTGGTTGGTGAGAGGGGGAGTCTTTGAGTGTTATTGTTTGGCGGGAACTCTTGTAGTTCTTTGGAGGGAGGTTAAGCTCTCTGGTTACGTTGTAACACCATTCTTACTGATTCTTTTTCAATAAAAGGAGGCTGTATAATTCAGATATATTGTCTTTGTGTGTATTTGAGTGTTTTTCCATAGGTTCTTGATCCAAGAACCTATCATAACTTAACTGCTTTGCTTAATACACATTTGTTCATTTCCCTCACTTTTCATAACCAACATACTTGATCCAATCTTGAGGGATTGAACCCACTCCTCAAGAGTGAGGCTTGCTAACGATACCAGTATGTATCCATATGTAATAGTCGAGGGAGTTAGGAAAAACCTCAGAAGTAAGGTTATAATATTATCAAGAGCAGCAACAAAAGAACTATAACCACAATGATGAATGTGTATCATCTCATATATTAATAGTCATTTATACCTGCAATCATCATATGAAGTTATAACAGCAAGATAGAAGATCACACCTGGTGTACCACTGCAGAGCCAAAGCAGAGTTCTCGCAACACCAAAGATATGATTTCCTTTATTTCTGCTTGTGGTAAGGACAGAAACATAAAATGACTATATCAAGCGTGGGAAAATAAGAAATCTAAAAGGACATGCAAAATAAATACAGGACAAGTATTTATCACAATTTAAACGAACTGATTGCCAAATACCACGATTGTCAAATGTTTCAGGCATCACAAGAACAGCAGAATACATATTTCTTTCATTGCGAGGAATATGAAGTTTCTCTATCAAAATCCAGTCCCAAATAGTATGCAGATCGTCCAGTACCTGCATCATAGGCAAGTGATAGTGATATAAAATAAGAGTTACGAATGGTGTCAAAGACACTCAAAATTCTCACTATCAATCATCGGAAGCATTTTAATCTAAAAGATATGGTTAAAATTTAGATATCCTACACCCATAGATGTGGTTATAATTGGTCATATCTTTAGTATATACAGGATCTCAACATTAAACATAACCAATAATTTCCAAGTCATTGGCTTTTTCCCAGTAGAAGTTTTGAATGATGAGTTCATATTGTTCTAGCTTTGTGAATCTCTCTATTCATAATTTTCATGCTGCCAATCAATTGAATATTGAAAAGCCGCAAAACATTACTTAGAAGCTCAAAAATCCATAAATAACATGAAAGAAATCAGTATATCAAATCTCCAAACTAAGAAAATAACCTCAAGTGAAATCAGGATAATAAAAGTCATATGAAAATGGATCAATCTCTGGTTAACAGCTTAATCATTTTGCAGACAGATAGTTCAGAAACATAGCACAGCTGAGAAGTTTGTGACAGACTCCTACTCCAGGGAAAGACACACTATATGTAGAATTTAAGGGCCTCTGTAATCTACTTCTATCATCGCTTTACTGAAACAATTATTTGAAAGCCATATTGGGATTTCAAGGAGGAGAGTTACTTGAACAAAATGAGTGCAAATTTTACATCTAATTTATAATGACCAGTTATCTCAAAAGCTTTAGGTATTAGGTGAAGACACAAATGGCTTTGTATTATATCGATTCAAATTTCAGACTGAGCAGAGGCTTCTAATTGAGAATCCAGTGTTGATTCTTCCATACATCAATACAAAAAAACTGAAGGTGCGAAATTCTGGATGAGTAGGATCACTGTACAATTAAAAGAATGTTCCTTTCAGTGTACTTTCACCACAAAAACTCAATACTTTCTCAAAAACCTTGCTAGCATGCAGTGTGGAGATTACGTAATAAACCAAAGACAAAGATACATATGCTCAAAATGCCAAATTGTAATTGAAAGGAAGCAGAAAATCCCCTCATACAGCATTAGGTTGTCAAGAGGCTTTACATGTTCTTTTTTAATTTTTCTTCCTATCATGATTAATCTGTTTAAGTAGTAATAAGTACAAGAAGTGTGCTATAAATTTGCAGGAACAAGCAAGTAAAGTATGCATATTTTAAAAGCACGATTATTGTTAAGCTGTAATAGTATATGTATTGAAGATTGTTTATCACGTCTTCCTGAATAGTCAAAGCATACAATTTCAACATATTACTTAGAAACTTAAAGTAAAACTCTACTATAAATTTGCAGGACTAGGCAGGCAGGGTATGCATATTTTTACAAGTAAAACTATTGATATGAATTCATTAATACAAAAATAAAGGTCACCAATATTTTTTGCTATTACATTATAATAATGCAACACCTAACTCTATATTACAATACATAATTCTCAAACTATGTAATATATACACTTTTCTGGTCACTAATTAACCATATGTGATCTAACAAAAATTCCTAATTTGCACCGATATTATTCTAGTTTGGAAGTGGTGAGTACCTGCTGCATGGAATAATGTTGTGAAATGTTCAAGTGTCCTCTGCGGATTGGTCGACATATACAATACGGCTCAGTTGGGGATATTCGTAATGCTTCATCACCACAAATGAACTCTTTGAATTTTCTTTCACTTGCATTAATATCCTTCGAATCTGCACCTTCTTCTTTTGGATCTGAAGACTCACCATTCTCACCTTTACTTGAAGTTTCTACAAGTGCCAATTTATATATAATTCATAACATAGTGGTAATTAATATTAAAATAACAAAACTTTTAACATTGCAACTTGTTGCTTCTAATGAAGAATTCAGTTCCAATAAAACAAGCAGCTAAGCAAACCAAACATTGAAAGACTAACATGTTTTAATTTAATGTCACTAAAAAAAGGAAAAGAGTAAAAGTTATCTTAAAGTGGTTTTTCATATGATAATTGAAATACTTTATAATAAGATAAGGTAATGCCTCAGCTCTAATATTACTTCTTTTTTATTGTATAATACTCATGAAAGGTACTAAACAGCTCATATTAGATACCAGAAAAACAAATTTGAATGAATAAAATGCTAAGCTAATTGACACAATGAGAACAGGCCAATTTCCTCTTACCTAATGATACAGATGAATCAATGGCCTCTTCATATAAATTAGTCCAAGTGAAGGGCAAGTTTTTCCTGATAATATGAGGATTGTGTCCATCAACACGTCCCATCTGCATATTATGTACATTGAAAGTCAGTATTAATTTAGAAAAAAAGTAGTTTACACTTAAAGTTTTATTGTTGTATAGTAACCCCAGAAAAAAAGAAAAACAATAACAACTTCATAAATATTTGATAGAATTTTCCAAATAGATTAGTTTTGCCTGAACACGAGAATGCGAACGTGACTTTACAGAAACCTTAGAATCCATCCTCGTTACCATGTTCGTAAAATCAATGAATAGCCAGCTAAAACAATCATCCCCACACTTATCTTTCTTGCTCTCACTACATAACCTATTATTTTGCCTCTTTTGTCTTCTATAATCCAGTTTTACATGCTAGATTTTGTTCCATAGTCATTCAAAAAAACTTTAATTAGAAGAAAAGAACCACTGAAAGAAGAACTGTCAGGATGATTAATAAGTGAAGCGACAAACTTCATGAGATTATAAGGACATGCATTGAATATATCTTCAAATCATATATGTATAAACAATATAAGTGATAAATAGTATATAAAATATAAAAGCTCAGTTAAGCATATAAATAGCATTGTTTACTTATAGTTAGGACTAAAATAGCAGAAACCTCCATAGAAAAGTAAGAATGTTCAAAAGGGTGAATATAGCACTCTTTCCTTAATGAATAATATATATGTCTGTCACCGCATTTGTCTACTTGAGATGCAAAGATTTGAAAGGCGAACATTAATCCCATGCTTAAACAGGTCCAAACATTATTACAACACAGACACAGCAAACAAGAAAAACAGATCATACAAACAAACAGGATGAGTTTAATCATTTGAATTTTAGCTGAATAAAACTCCACACACCTTGCGAGGGATAGAATTACTGGGAGCTTCTTCATCCAGAAATGGTATCTTCAACAATGATGCAATCTTTTTTTTAACAAAAGAAGGGTATAAATCCATGTTAGCAAAACTGTAACAAAAGTAACAGAACCAAAGTGTCTCTAATAACTTACGGTATTATAAGCTTTTTCCCTTTCCTTGTGCTGTTCAGGCACCACATGACTATTGAGCATCTAAATGCAAAAAGTGAAAACCAGCAATAATTAAAGTAAATCATGTATCCAAGCAAAAAAAGGAGGGGAACAGAATACAATAGATTTTTAAAAAACAGTCAAATTATCAGAAAAACCTGATCTATGACATTCCCTTCGGTCTGTTTGGTGTGGCGAGCAATGCAGTGAGGAATATTAAAAGGGGTGTCTTGAGAAGCCAAGCCAATCCTAATATTTGCAGAACCTGAGTAATATGGGGATGGTATCCAAGAAGTTAGAATATGTAAACTTCGGGTGCTATTTGGGGAACAGGGTGACAAATGGGTAGTGAACGAAATTGAATATTTTGCATACCTGGGTTGATAACAACCAGATTAGAGCCTCGTTCTGAAATTATTTGAGAAGGAAGCGCGGATTTAAGGTAATCCTGTGACATTAGAACATCCCCAACATGATATATGAGAACAATTTTTTTGAAAATGCAACGGTGACAGAGAAATAGATTGTACCATGGAAAAGAGAGTAAGTTGTAGTAGTAGTTGCAGTTTGAGAGAGAATAGTGACTAAGGTTTTTCAAATTTGGTGGGTTTTTTCCATTTCTTTTTGGGTTCTTCCTCAGTTCAAAACTGAGAAAACAGTTCTCTGACAATTTCCTTGATAAAGGTTCCTATTCTGAAATCTCAGAAGTTAAAAAAAAAATTAAGTAGCCAAAATATGTTTATTTAAAAGTAAGAGGCATATATAATCATTTTTAGGTTAAATTCTAATTATTTTTGTAATTTTAGTTTTCAGATTAAAAAATATATCACAGTTCAATCTTTACACACACACACACACACATATATATATATATATATATATATATTCAATCAAATTATAGAAAAGTAATATATTTACTTAAGATATTATAGAAAGCTATTTAATTAATTAAGATATAAACATCGGAAAATTGATGATAAAACAAAAAATTAATATTGATAACGTTTGGAGATCAAAATTGCAAAAAATAAAAACGATCAAAACCACGTATTAAAATTATAATTTAGTCTTCAAAATATTTTGATAGTTCGGTTTGATTTTGTTTAGTTCAATTTAGTTTGGTTCGGTTTAATATGATTCAGTTCGATTCGACTTATTTTGTTTGATTTAGCTTTGCTTGATTTTGTTTAGTTTGGTTTGGTTCGTTTCAACTTGATTCAGTTTGGTTTAATTCAGTTTGTTTGATTTGACTCGACTTGGCTTAGTTTGGTTCAGTTCAGTTCGATTCACATTGTTATTGTCATGTGTATTATGTGAGTTTGACGCGTGACCATTTTAAAAAAAAAATAAAACTAAAAGATTAAAAAATATTTAAAAATAAAAAGATCCTATTAAATAAAAAATAATGAGGATATGATAAAATAAGGATTATTTATATAATTAAAGAGACAAACTTAAAAATAAAAAAATGTTTGTGTATGTATTTATAAATAAATATTTAAGGTATATATAATAATATAAATATTTTTTAACCTTTTAATGTATTAATTAATATTAATTAAATAAAATAAAATAGTTAATTCATTTACCTGTTGAATTATTTTATTATAACTAATAATTAAATTTAATTAATTAGTATTATTAATTTAAATTATAATACTATTATAAAAATATAATATAAAAATTTAATTTTTTTAATCATTTTAATTTAATTTTTTAATTTAAAATTAATAAAAATTAAAATAATAAAACAGATCAATAGATTAAATACGAACCTGATCTACTTTTAACTTGTCATTTTGGTAGACTTAATTGACAGATGAAAATAGATTAATAGGTTAAAAATTTCAATCCATCTCATTCATATGATATACTGGTTTATCATCACAGCTGATTTTGATACTTTATATATGGTGTATTCTCACCTTAACTTATGTTCATAAAGGGCATTTCAGCTCTTTTAATCACAACTTCCTCACAGTGCTATATTTCCTAAATCTCTAGTTCCATCCTATCTAAATTTTCAAAATTTTAGTTTTTACTTTCAGAGTCATAAATTACTATATTAAGAAGAATTGATCAAAATCTTGATTTATATAAATTTTTTATTTTTTCATAATTTATTTATATTTTCTTTTTCCATATATATTTAGATGTTTTCTCTCCATTTATCCTGATCAATTGAGGAATATAATTTTTTCCTGTGATATAAATAAGTCCAGGAGTTAATTTTATACGTTAAAATTTTAAAGATTTTCTTTGATTGAGTTATAAATTTTTATATGTTCAGTTATTTTTTATTAAAAAACGTATTAAGAGGATATAATTTGAATTATATATTTATTTTTTTATTGACAAAATTCATAATTATAAATTAAGTAGAATATAAGGATATAATCTAAATATTATTTTAAATGTTAAAGGAAAAATGTTATTTTTTAGAGAAGCATTGTGTATATTTATTTTGAAACTCAAAGTGAGAGTTTTATTTTTAAATTATTATTCACTATGATTCTTAAACGATATAATATTATTAAACGTAATGTAACAAAAACTTGTTCTATAACCACTTTTTTATTCTAAATTATTTTTTCATCCTCTGATACCATTCCAACGTTTAGAGTTTAAGTATCTTAAAACAATATTGTTAAGTTTGATTACAAGTTTAAAGTAATTGTGTGCATTAAAACATTATTAAAAGGAACATCTAATGATTAAAAAATACATATTTAAATTATACGTTAACATTTTAAAGATTTTTTTTTTCATTGAGTTAGAAATTTTTATATGATCGGTTATTTTTTATTAAAAACATAAGACGAGATAATTTGAATTATACATTTATCTTGCTCTTCATGATGTTTAGGGTTTTAGATATTATAAATTAACTAGGATCTAATTTTATTATAGTTTATTTTGGAAGTTTTGTAACTGTTTTTTCTTTTTATTTTAATTATTGAATGATGTGAGATTATTAAGTATAAAGAAAAAAAAACTTATTTTAAAATATATTTTTTTATTCTAAATCACTTTTCCATCCTCATATATAATATAAATGTTTAGAGTTTAAATATCTTAAAAGTATATCTTTAAGTTTGATTAGCACATTTAAAGTTATTCTTTACATTGAAACATTGTTAAATGGAACATCTAATGATTAAAAATATATTTAAATTATCTTTAATCTTAACCAATAAGATTAGTAAATATATCAAAGCAATTATAATTAAATTTAAATTAAAAAATAAATCAAAACACGAGTTTTTTAAAATAGTAATTTTAATATATTAAATGAAAATTTTAACTAAATATAACATAATTATATATATATATATATATATAATTATTATTATTATTATTATTATTATAAATGCATGTTTCATCAAATTGATGAATTAAACTATTTTTTATTTAGAATAAAATTTAATTATTTACATAACCCACTTTTTCAAAATATTTTCCATTCCTTTTCCTCTATTTTGTTGTATAACTAAACAAATAAAATTCTGCCAGTCAATAGCATCTCTTGTATTCCTATTAATAACCAAGAAGTACATAAAAAACTACTTTAGTTAATATTTATTAATAACCGTGAACTACATAAAAAACCACTTCAATTAATATTTATTAACTGGTTTTCTTTTTTTCTTCTTCTTCTCAATCTTCATTTTCATCACACAAATTCTTCATTTGAGTATTATTGAGTTTGAACTTTTAAGTAAAGTTCCATATCCAAATATTGTGGATTAGTAAACATGATCACAAGATAACACTCTAATAAAGATAATCAATTAAGATTTTGCTACAAATTAATTAAAAAAATCTAAAAATTCTTTATATCAATAACACGATACTTTAAAAAATTTAGACTTTTTTTTCTATTGAAATAATGACAAACTTATTCCTTATGATGGAACATTAGATAGAAATCCGTCGGATTACCTATCTTGTCATTATAAGATATCTATTTCTAAAATTGTTCATAGATTTTCTTACCATAGATATCGTGAATATTTCTTAAAGAAAATACAATTTTAAACAAAATTATTTTTAAAAAATTCTATAAATACAAATTAAAAAGAGCCTAAGTTAAACGTATGAATCTTTTATCCATATGCGAATATATTGCCGCAATTAGAATAAAACGAATTTTCTGTATGAAAATTAGGGAATTTGGGTTAAAGGGTATAGTAGTCTTTTCAGTCTTCAGTTCATGCTTTTGAATTGGTTGGATTGATGAAACCACTCAAGTTAAGCTTTAAATAAAGTATTATTATAATATTATTATTATCATTTTAATTTTAAAGTTTAATTAAAGTGAACTGTTCAAACCAAAGCAAGTGCGCCACACACTCATCGTTGGTGTGTTCCCAGTTAAGGTGGAAGCGAGTTGCTGTTTGAGATCCTTTGTTGGTTCATCTGCATCACTCAGATCCATCACACTGTTTCGCAGGTAACGTCACACACACTTATACTTCTCTTTCAGATTTCTCACCACATTCGTTTCCCAGACCAACTTTTTAAAGAATGTTATGGAAATTGAATGAGAATGACCCAACTTAGAAATTCTACGCCGTCAATTTTCCGTTCTTGTAATTGTTCATTCTTTTTTCGCATGATTACATTTGGGTGCTGGGTTTCTAATTTCCACTGAAGATTACCGTTGGGTTCATCTTGTTTGAAAAACTAATGTGCTTATGCAGAATGTGTCAGTTTGATGTTAATTAACTAATTAATTAAATAATTAATGCATCTAGATCAGTCCGATGTGATGTAAATCCTGCAGGCCTCACTATGAATAAAGCATTTTCATCGAAGAAATCTTCCTCATTGCCCCCACCACCTACACCAAGCACAGCTGCATCATCCTGTGCAAAAAAGAAGCGAAGTCCTAGAAGCCCTTTGCAGGATCTCAACCGCATTTCCAGCAGTAGCAACAGTAGTTATGCTTCGAGCAGTGTCTCCACTGAAGCCCCAAAGGGATGCCTCAGGTTTTTGTCATCCTCTTCTTTTAGAACCCCTGTTCACAGACCCAAGAATCTCACTAAAACTCCCAGATCAGCCCCTCATGCAGCTGCTTTGAAACTGTCTAAGTCTAAATCCTCCAAGGAAAACATTCCAAAGGGTGATGCTGGGTTGAAAACTAAGACACTTGCATTGGATAAGGCGTGGAATCATAGGAAGAGGCCCCCTTGCCTCAACCAATGGCAGTCTGGGAGGAAATCAGGCTCTAGGACTGGCCAAAACCAAATGTCCAAGCCTTGTTCTACTTTCAAAGACCGTGGCAAGTTTTTACCTAGGTTGCCATCTGCACCGGACCAGGAGGAAAAAGAGAATATCTTGGTAGGCAGAAATGATAATGCCGGTGAGCATGACCATGTCATATTGTGCCATGGTGATTTAAACTTGACTCCTTCGAGCAAAAACGCAACTGGGTCGTGTTTGGAAGATGTTACAGTTTTTGGGGATTTGGAGGAGAATCCAAATGCGAGCATCAGTAGAACACCTCCAATTCACAATTCTGTTTCCCCAGAGATACAATGCGGGTCCTCTCTGGTTCCAAAAACAGTAACACCTACTTGTTATGGCGCTGGCTATGTTGTTTCTGGTGTTGTTGACAAGAGGAAATGTAGGCCCAAAGGGATTCTCACTGCTGAGAAGAAGTCTATAGGCAGTGGTAAAGTAGCTGATAGTAGTTTTGATGATGATGAGAAAAAAGTAATGGACACTATTGACCATACTAGTCCTTCCGTGTTACCGTTGCCAACTGAAGCTGTAGTGCATTGGCTTTCTTCTCCAAGTAACAAGGGAAAGAACATTCTGAATCAGAAGTTTGAAAATGGATTAAATCAAAGTCAGGGACTAGCATCATCCATAACTCTTGCTTCCACTACTTCCCCATCATCCGGTTCCAAGACTTTTCGGGATGTAAGTGATATCAGTGATTTGTCTGGTGGTGCCAATGGTATCATGAGAAAAATCAGTTCTTCAATTTCTCCAAATGGGCTTGCTGAATTTCAAGCACCCTCTGATTACATGCTATCGCCTTCTTATTCATCCTTGTTGTTTTCTCCCAATTCCACACCTATTTGTAGGGCAGGTATCTCAGGAAAAGGAAAAAGCGATCGATACAATCTCATTGATGAGAATTCACCCTTTTCCCTGAATTCATTTGGCAGTGGAAATGTTATTCAAACTCCACAATCTGATTCTAGTTCAGAATTACATGTTAGATTATCATTGGTGCATGCAGACAATCAAAAGGAAAATAATTCTAACCCTGGCCTTAACTCATCCAGGAACGTACTTCTATCAGAAAGCTTCCTTCTCAATAGTTCGATGCCCCCGGTGGATTCTGTTAATTCAAGTTTTCAATTTGATTGTTTAAATATGTCTTATGAATCTATTGATCTCAGTAAACTTCCAAAATTTTTGGATGATCAGGACCCTTGGTTATCGAGTTCTACAACAGTGAATGCTTCACAGTCCCAAATGAGAATATCGTGGAGGGAAGGGTCACTGAGCCAACCTTACGAGCTAGATGAGTGTGACTGCTGTAGATGCTTGTCAGATGAAGAAGAAAATGTCAATGACTCTGATATCAATAAGTTTTCAGGTCCTCAAGTCATTATGGAAACGAAGGATGGAAAAAAATTGAGCAGTGATATTGCAATTCTTGAAACTGAGGATAATGAACAGGAAATTGACGGCCTTGGCAAAGAAAAGTTTCGATCTTTGATGTCATGTTCAGCTGCCGAGTCCCTAAGCATTGATGGTGGCGGTCTAATTGCTTCAGGGGATAGTCTGGACGTTATGCCGCGAGAAGAAGTTATTTGAAGTGTGAGTCGACCCTTCGTAGTTTGATTCATTTGTGAAAAAAAAAACTTGTTGTAATGTAACGTAACACCCCCTCGATCTAGATGGCTATTTGATCAAGTTCTAAACTTCCTCTAAGGCTACGTGGAAATTCGCCTCGCTGATGATGTGCACTTTTCTTGTATATATAACGGGGTGAAGGAAGAATTTCGACTTGGTTGGAAGCAAAATTTTCTCTACTTCCAATTTAGGAATAATTAGTGGTTAATCAGATCGATAGTGGCTACTTAGTAACCATTCTTTGAATATATCATCTATTGGTTGAGAAATTGATGCTTCATAAACTATACATTTTTTACGGACACATTTATTTTTGTAATGTACCCTTCTCTTTTTCCTTTCTTTGTTTCGTTCTTGTTTTTGGTGAAATTTGTCTTTCGCTTTCCTGTTGGTTAACCAACATGGAGACCATTTATAAATATTTGTACTGTATCAGTTTTTATGGCTTTGGAAAAGGTGTCTCTAATTTGTCAAGTGGCTACAGGAAATTATTTCTAGCTTCAAGTCGGCACTTGGATTGATAATAGTAAAGAACCATAAATTAGTATTTTGTCTAGTGGATTGAAGAATTTCGTGACAGAAGAAAAGTGAAATTCATTTGTTGATACTTAAATGATAAGTTTGTGTTCGGAAACTCGTTTGCACCATTTTATTATGAGGTTCTTCGATGCAGCAAATATAGAAGGAAAGAGACTAGATGTATTTATTGACGTTTCTCTGGACCCGGTTAAGATCCAAATACTGACCGCATTTCCGTACTCAAATCATAGTAGTGCTTTATCTGTTTAAAATTAGTCAAGGTTATTGAATATATTTCAATCACACACACACACACACTCATCATATATTGGATATCTTTCAATCACATTTAATTATGCTAACATTAAACAATTGTACCGGATCGAACATTGTGAAATAATTGGTCTGTGTAAATATTTGCCAGTGCGAAAAGGGTTTAAGTATTATTCCATAACGCTGCAACCAAGAATTTAATAACCTTTTTACTGGCAACAGATACATCTTTTTTCTAATCTCTAAACTGTCTTTGCTTTTGGGGTCTTCTTCCTGATTTGTTTCCTGGTAATCAAGTATTTCATCTCTATAAAAAATAGCAATGCACCACAAAGTGCTGTGTTCTGCCATAAAAAAAGTGAACACATTATATTAAGTTCTGACACAGGTAAAATTATCAGATAGGAACACATGAAATAATAATATTTTGTACATACCTGAATGAAATCACTCAGCAATAAACTGTATTGAGGGTTATTAGGTCTGTAGTTGTAGAAATCATACAGAATTGGTGTAGAAAGTCCCAGATAAAAGAGCTACAAAAAAAGTAACCAGGGTTATTATGACGCTTTAGAACCAAAACAAAGATCAAAACTGAAGTAAATTTAAGAATAACATGTATTCTTTTCAAAGCCAAGAGAGTAAGCCCTCACCAGAAGATAAGATCCAAATGTACTGCCAAGCACAAATAGAATTCCTCCAACCCCCTTTAAAAATATGGTGGAGGCAATGACTGGTCGAACCTGTATTTAACATTTTATCCAGAAAGATTATACAAGTAAAAGTAAAATTCCATTCTAAAACGTTGATAGTGTGAGAAAAGATCGCCTTACATTAATGTCTGGTACCGCTAACCCCAGTTTGGAGGATAAATTTCTCCTCACAGCCGCAAGCTTGGGAATCAACTCCTTTGCAACTGGTCCACCAGTGTCATCAAATTCATTAAACCTGGCAACATGCATTCAATATAAGTACGAATGTACTAAATGTTGCTTTAATAGTATTACTAACAAACTAAAAATTACATTAACAACCAAACATTTGATATTGTAAAATGTTGTCAAACAAGGTACGGGGTATACAGCCTATGCCCATTGATATAAACATCAACATGGTGATTCACCACCAAGTCAGTGACAAAATAAAGTAATAGGACTTAAAACTGCTAAAAAGGTTGTGTCTAGCTACTGAAATGCATCCCAACCAACAAGTCTGCAAAACATCGTATCAGAACAATAAAAATTAATAGAGCTGTAGTCTCTGCACAAATTGCATATGAATGTCCTCATATTTTTATGTAACAAATGTCACTGGAAAGCCAGACAGATTAGTTCTTACTTTATCAGTTGATACACAACAAGCCTTCTACTGAGGTCATATATTCACTATCCATCCAAACTCCAACAAAGACAAAAATGTAAAATAAAGGCAGCATAATTAATAAAGAATTAAAATACTACGGCTGTTAGAGTTTGAGTTTTAACTCAACCCTACCAAATCAGTTTCTAAGATAAAGTTTACACCTCACTTATATGGTATATTTTATACCTATATCACTACACAATTTGAGATCATCAACAATTGATGCCTCACAGCTCCTTGTGTTGTGTAGTGTGTCAGGCACAAACCTGAAATCAAGCCTTGTTAAATGAGCTATTAAAAGGATGGTTTTTTTCAGACTGTACTTAGCTTGACATCAAATTCAGTACTAATTACATAATTAAAAATCTTCAATGATTTGAAGGAAGCAACTACAGGAAAATCTACATCAAACATACACGTGATGAGCAACTCAAGGTTTCAGGGTCGCTTTTGTTATTATTACTAATTGCTCTTTGTATTTATTCCAACATGCCGGCATACTTAAGAAAACAAAGCAATTAACTAATAGTTTACATTAGTGTAAACCATGAAGTTTCAGAGACAACTCTTTACACTAAAAGACGCGTCATTAAACTGGAACAACTGAGCATAGTTCCCAAAATAATCATTGAACAATACGAAGAAGCCCAATTTATATAAAAAAAGAAAAGGTATCCATTAAACAACATCATGGGTTTGTACAATATCTAAGTGAAAATACAAATCTGAATGAAAACCCAGATGCAAAAAATGAAAATTTAATGGGCAAACATTAAATAATTTGAACATTACGAATGGATCTAGAAAGAGAGAAAGGACTCACATCTGCCATGCTGAGAGGATGAAGAGGGAGGCAAAGAGGAGACGACCCAGAAAGGAGGAAAACCCCATTCTTGTGACTGTGTTTTGAAGTAGCAGGAGAGAAGCAGAAGCAGTAAAAGAAAAGTGGAGGGTCGCAGTGTTGTGCGGTATTGTAATCAATTTGGATTCGGTCTCTAATTTGATTTGTCAAAGAATTTGAACCAAATTTAAGGTCTGAGACCTTTGGAATATTTAGAGTGAGACGAGGATAAATGTTACCAAGAAAAACACAAATCTCATATACTGCTTAACACTATTTTTTTTATTTTTGTCATTAACACATATGCTTATCTTACTGCTTTAATTGATTTGTCATTTTTCCTTTTGCCTTTGATTTCAACTAACTTAATTTGCAATCGCTTTAAGATTTAAAGTGAGCTCCGTACTATGTTGTTGATTTCTTATTATTTCATTTGATAGCTCGACCTTTTTTCACGAAGAATTTGATAAATCTCAGGAGATGGGTTGAGAAAGAGTTAATAATAAGGGATAACTATTGAATAAATCAGTCTTTTTTTTATTCCAATCCAAGTTAAATAAATTTAATTAATGAAAAAGCTTGAGAGCTCCAAAAGTTTATTCTCTCTTCATTTGCAAAAGATCTTTAAGGTAGTAATCTCAAGTTTTATCCCAAGGTAATAATATTTTCCTTTTCCACAACCTCCATATTTTATTTTAAAAATTAAAAAAAATTACTTAAAAATAAAATTTCAAAATATAAAATTAAAAAATAATAATTTTAAAGCACAATTCAAATTAAAATTTACTTACTAAAATATTAATACAATGCAAGTTTGGAACAAAATATAAATTATACAAAATTAATCTTTTTAAAAATAGTTTAAATTTCATGAATAAAAAATAAAAGACTTAAATACTTATTTCCTTTCGTGTTAAAAGGTCAATTTTTATTTAATATCATATTTTAAAAATGCATCGTAAAATTGTAAAATTTGTATAAATAGTATTCTTTCCGTTAAATTTGCTTAAACCATCCGGAACGTGGCTATAAAATTTTACTTTTTCTTCTTCTCTGTCTGTTCTTTCGGCAACGTTAAGCTTTTTCTTCTCTCTCATCAACACACATCCCATGGCATCTGCAACCTGCATCGTAGAACAGAGTCAAGCCTCTGCAACCTGAGTTGCTGCCTAAACCTTCTGAAGGACAAAAAAACGTTGAAGGAGTTTTCCTCTCTTGCCCCTGTCCTCTCCCTGGAAGACAAACCCCCACTCACGGAATCACAGCATTAACAAAAAAGATTCCATTAACTAAAAGCAGAAAGTGGGAAGTGGGAAGATCATTAACAGGAAAGATTCCATAAAGCACTCCTACAGGTTATTATAGGAAGCAGCAGCATGAGAACACTCAAGGGGAGCCACTCCGTGACAAATCAGATTCACCACATAATGCATCGTACCACCATCCATCCAAAATCAAACTTCTAAAACCATCATCATTCCCATTATCATCGTCATTCTTATTATTCATTTTTTGATATCTTCTTAGATGGGAGAAAAAAAAAAGTGCAGCACCTAAGCGTGAATTTAAATTTAACATAGAAGACTTCGTTTATACATTTAAAAAAACTTTAGGATATAACCTCTACACTTTTAAAACTGATACTAAAAAAAATTTAAAACTGAATACTAAACTAAAGTTAGAATCTAAATGATTTTTTAATAATTAATTTTTTTTAGTAAGTGTATTTTGATCACTTGATTTTAAAAAATATTAAAATAAAACTCACCCATAATTATCTGATAATAAATACAAAATAAGTTATAGTAAATATTCGTACATCAAATATCATTATACTTTGTACTCGTCTCATCAATAAATCAATAATTAAATATTCATACCCATTCATTAACGCAGGTATCCATTAAAGATTTTACTTAAAGATATTTGTTATTATAATATTTTGGTTTAAACTCTCGTTTGGTCTTCGAATTTGTGTGTCAATCTCAAGTGAATCATTTTTTTTCCGGTCTCAATCGGATCCATAAACTTGTAAAAATGAGTCAATTAAGCTCTATCAGTTAAGTTATTACTGACGCCGTCTAACTTTGCTTACATGTTATATTACGTGGAATTTGTTATTTAACTTATTATTATGTTTTGTATAAGTGTTATATGACGTGGTCTTTATGTTATATTATTTAATTGTATGACACCTACCATTTTAAATGAGCTATTAGATGCCGGTTTTGACGTTTGTTTGTGTAAAAATGAAAACCTAATTAGTTCCTTCTTCCTGTTGTCGTTGCGACTCATAATCCACCGTCACCTTCGCATTGTCGATCCCCTTAGGTCTTGATTTCGGCAACCGTCGTCTCCCTATGTGATCTTGAATGTACACCAGAACGGTAACTGCTGTCGAAGTCCCCAAACTTATGAAGAACACGAACCAGTTGAAGAATTTTATCATCTGATTTTTCTCTATGTTGTTGTCTCAGTG